TCATCGTGGGGCAAAAGATCCAAATCCCCGTCTGCTAAGTGTACCACCAACACCTCGTACCATGAGTCGAGGCACTTGGTATGAAAAAAATGAATAGAGGCACTAATGACATAATGGGACTGCAGAACACTAAGCTGCTCGTGCACCAAATCAACCAAGTAAAGCAGACAATCAATGTGACGTAGGATTTCCAAAGCAATCCTATCAGTTCTTTCAACCACCCCCACGGCCGCAGACAAGTGCTAGTGTCAAAATTAACTTTCTAGCTCGCAAGAGATTAATGAGGAGTTCCGCAATCTGTAGACAGCGACTTGTATGCAACATTTCCCCACTTTATACATCTCTCATTCACCATTGATCCAACAACGATACAGCTAAAGCTCAACTATCCAAATGTCTGATGCAGCGAAATATTCTAGAAAGCTCAAGGGGAAAGTGGGGTAGAGCAGGCGAGAGGTGATACCATCGTCAATGAGGAACCGGAGAGAGGGGAGGCCGCAGGGGAAGGAGATCTCCACGGGGAGCGAAGTTAGTCTCGCGACCACCTCCGCATCGTGTGCGTCCACCGACGCCGCCGGCGGCGGGACGTGCGGCTGGATCCTATGGAGTAGCGACGGAAGAGGAAATCCGGTCCGCAGAAGAGACGGAGGCGGGGAGGCGAGGAGGCGGCCGAGGAGGGAGGAGCCAGCCCGCACTAGGATTTTCGCCGACGCCATCGCCGTGATCCACTTCGTCCTGTACCTTCTTAAACCCTAGTTTCCACTTCTGCCTTCCAAAGCAGCTTGGCCTAGTGAGAGATGGTCTCACGACAAATGGGCCTAGTGGTCAGGATTAGAGCCCCTAGTCGATGGGCCCAAGCTAACCCAGAAAAGAAGGCTAACCACAACTGTGGCTCTCTTTGCCTAAAAAACAAAAAACTGTGGCTCTCCTTTTTTGTGTGCACATCGAGCTCCCTCCTTTCCGATTTAGGTCATGCGCATATCTTTAGGTCATCAATATCTAATATGAATTAGGTATTACAAAAGTTATATCATTATTAGAAAATATTGTTTTTGAAGTTTCTAATGGTATACTTTTATAATATATGACTGTATTCAAATTATCAATCTAGGAATACACATGGACCTACTAAATAAAAAGGTAGTAATCCTTAAGTGACATATTATCCCATAATGCTAGGTGGGTCGTGTCTCTGTAGCGACGACTCACTCACCCGGACGTTTGAAAAAACCAGCAGATTCTGGCTCTAATAGCTTTTTTCTTTCAAATTTGAATCAATTCATGAATTATCACAGGCTCGCTTGCATATATGTTCGAAAAATCTAGGACGCGATAGGTTTTCCTTCCTGGTCTAAATAAATTCGACAATCCAAAAAATGTGCACAAATTAAACAAATCATGGATTTTTAAAAATGCTCACCATTTTTCCATAAAAATATAAATTCAAGGATTTAAGAAATGTACACAAATTTAAAACAATATGTATGAATTAAAATATATTTTGTAATTTGAAAAAAATTACGAATATAAAAAACTTTGTGTTTTTTAAAAGTATATGAATTTTAAAAATATCAATGGATTTAATTTTGTTCTTTTTAATTTAGGTAATGCTCATGGATATTAAAATGCATGGGCTTTCAAAGTGTTAGTGAATTAAAAATACTATTTTATTAGAATGCAAAAATAGAATTTTCAAAAATGAGAATCTTTACCTACTAATACTAATAATAAAGCAAATAGTGCTTCTGGTCGTCCGTCATAGAAATTGCCCTCGAATTTGGCATAAATTACCCGCCATGCCATCCATAAGTAACATGATTCGGATTTATTTCAAAATCACCGCGGGTTTTTTCTTACAGGGCGATACACTTATATTACACAATCCTCCGGTAGCGCAATGGCCATGGCGTCGGCCTACCACGCAGGAGACCAGCGTTCGATCCCTGGTTCCTACACCTTTTTGCCACGCAGGTCTTCCACCCCCGCGCGCTAATAGGCCGGCCCATAATTGGCTGGGGGTGGGCCTGTTTACTATTCTTTTTTTTTGCTTTTTATTTCCTTATTTCTGTTTTTATTATTTCTTATTTAAATTAATTCAGGATTTTTTAAAGAATAAAATTCCGAAAAGCTGCGGGATTTATTGAGAAGTAATAAAATATTCATGATTTCAAAATATTTTTTGCATATCATAAAAAAAATTCGGAATATCAAATAGATGTTCATGAAATAAAAAAATCATGATTTTAAAATAATAATCCAGTAGTCTGGAATTAGAAAAAAATGTACATGGCGTGCCTCCTCCTCCTCGACGCGCTAATGGGCCGGCCCATGTGCGGCTGGTTGCGCCTGTTTTCTGTTTCGTTTTTTGCTTTTTACCTTTTTAATTCTGTTTTTGTTTTTCATTCTTTACAATCATTCAGGATTTTCAAAAGAACCAAATTTCAAAAAGCTGCGAGATTTATTGAGAAATCATAAATTGTTCATGATTTCAAAGAAAAATCGCATATCATAAAAAAATCACAATATCAACTAGATGTTCATGAAAAAAACATGATTTTTTTAAAAATCCAGTATTCAAAGTACATTCTGGAATTAGAAAAAAAATATACATAATTTTTTTGAAATGTTTCCAAATTAAAACAGGCCCGTAAATGATGAACAAAACGAAACATCGCCTGCGTCGAAGTTTTAATAGGGGATCTGTAGAGGTAAATTTATGATTTTATTTAGTCCCTCGCATCGGGTAAAAAAAAGGTTTCCATGTTTCGTACGACGCTGAAGCCAAAAAATATTGACACAATTTTCTATGGGTTAGTTTATTTGTAAACTATATAAAATGACTAAATGTCTATTTTGCCTCCATACACAGCTATGTTTATTCTGGTACCATGGTAATTGTTATGACAACCACTGCTACGCTAGGTCAAGATTATATACATCATTCATCAGTCTAGCTTAGGTAGGGTTCATCAATGCAGTTTACTCAGCCAAAACTAATTCGTTGTGGCGCCTTAGGAAATCAAATCATGGTCAAACCATCACTTTTTTTTGAAATGACTTTTCAAAAGTCTCTTATCTCATCATGACATCACTTAGACATAGTTTTTGAAATGACATTTTAAAAGCCCTTATCTCACCTTGGCATTTTAAAAGCCATTATCTACCACTCCCTCATAGTTTGATAGTTTTTCCTCCCGTTGCAACGCACGGGCATATTTGCTAGTACTAAAAAGAGAAGAAACTATTGGAAGATAAAAGAAACACAAAAACAAAAAGAACGAAAATAAAATAAAAATTGGTAGAACCAAATATGCCATGTGTACCCCCAAGCTACCAACTTCGGCAAGGCCCAGTCGAGGTTTTACATCTAACGGGATATCTTTCCCTTGAGCACGAAGTAGGATATTCTTTGAGAATCTCCCTACCTCCCTCACTCGAGTACACTTTGCAAAGATCACTTCCAGCTTTCTAGGTTGCGACAAGTGCAACCCGAGAGTTTTCCTTTTCCCGTAGAATCATTTATTCAAAACGTTTTATCTTTTAAACCGTGCGTCCAAACCTCGAATCGTTTTCACCATTGGATTTCTTGCGTCGAGATCTTTTAAACTAGATGCCATGTTGATAGGTTTTGACGAATTCTTTTTTCAGGAGAACAACTGACGAAGAAACCGAACTAGGAGCACTTTTTCCCCCTTTCCGAAAAGAGGTACGATCGTGCCTCTTGCACAAGCAAAACCATACCACTCGCGGAAGAAAAATAAATAAATAAACACGATGAGACACGACCGTGCCTCTCGCGGAAGCAAATCCTTGCCCCTCGTAGAAGGAAAAAACATGTGTTTTTCATTTCCGAGATGCACTGCCGTGCCTGTCACGGAAGCAAAACGGCGCCTCTTGCGGAAGAAAAAAATGCGTTATTTCCCGTTCCGAGAGGCACAGTCATGCCTCTTGCAGAAACAAAAAAATGAGGGTTTTTTTTCGTTTTCGAGAGGCATGGACGTGCCTCTCGCGTAAGGAAAAAAGATAATGTGTTTTTCAAGTTTTTTCTTAAAAAAATTTGTCCAAAAGCTAAGAAAGGCTGATCAAAAACAGAAAAGTCAAAAAAATCTAGAAAATGCGTGCGAAAAAATAGAAAAAATATATCAGAGGGAGCACCTAGAGCGAGACACATGGCGGCAGCTGATGCGAGACTTTATCAATTTTTGTCTTCCCCCTACCATCATTCTCTTTGCCATCCAAATTACTAAGTCCATGGCTCATGCTCAGGTATGAGTGGAGTTGAAAATGCTGAAGCGAGAAAAAGTATGATACAATTACTTGGCTTGGCACCGGGGTGTTCATGATTTATAATTTACGCTAAGAAGACCGAGTTATGCCATCGCTTACATGATTAAATGAGTAGGAATAACATTCTGTAGCATTGTTATTTTGAAGATTAATGACTATTTTCTAGCATTCTTTTATATTATTATTTTGATATTTATAAATTCACCGTTTCTCAGCATTCATACCCAAAGGATTGCATGATTAAGACGTGTTAGGTAGCATTCAACATAAAAAAAATGTTTTTATCATTTATCTACTCGAGGACGGGCATGCATTAAGCTTGCGGATGCTAACACATCTCCAACGTATCTACAATTTTTTATTGTTTCATGATATTATATTATCATTCGTGTATGCTTTATATGCAATTTTATATTATTTTTAGGAACTAACCTATCTATAATACTTAAATAGTTCATCCCCACTATCTTATTTCTCTTGACATGTAAGCTATCCACATCAGCAACCACTCTCATACAACCACGTCACCTATGACCCCACATAATTTTAACCCTTTGTCCTTTTGTGCATCCATGTCATCCTCTTTTGCTCTACTGCCCGTGCTTTAAATTTATCGATGCCTTCCCGATTTGTTATTATGGCTGGGCTGTAGGTCCTCTCTTCAATTCTCTTCGTCTCCTTCAATTCCACCCACACAAACCGATCAAAAGCCACTGATGATTGTTTCCGTCTCCCTCTTCGACGTCTTCATCTTTTTTATTGAAGCAAACATTATGTCGTTCCCTATCCTGATGGTTCCTTCCATCTTCCGTGAAGCAATATGTCTCCACTAAATTGGCCTTCAAGTCTTGAAATCAAAACTCCCTTCACATCCTCATCCCGCTGTACTTATATACTGCTATATGACGACGACGACTTATGTAGTCTGCTTCAAACCCGGCCTCTCCCCTCCATAGATCGAGATGTGGCAGTGTCTTGAGGGAATCGGCTGGCCGAGGCAGTTCCCTCACCTCACATAGCGCGTGCTCTTCCTCCTTCCTCTCTTGAGACTTGCGGCGACTACACAATAGCAGATGGAGAGCGGCAGGACCGGATCCAGGTGAGTCCCCAACTATAAGTCACGCTCGTCGGGGGATCGATCCATGCCTATCCATTCCGTCCACCCGTCGATCGATCTGACGCAATCGATTCATAGTATTTTTCTTGAATTTCGTGGTCCATGGAGTCCCGGGCCATTAGTCCCGGCGAGACGACGCTGTCATACATGTATGCGTCGTGGCCCCGTCCAACGCTGTGAAGGAGCTGCGGAGCGGAGGTGGGGCGCGGTGGCGCGCGTGTGTCGGCGTGCTAGCCGCGTCGGCCGTGGTATTGCTGATGGTGGGCGGCGATGTGGCGGCGGACATGCCGCGGCTAACGGAGACGCCGTGGA